CCTGAAGTCTATCAATTATATCTGACATATAATTATGAATTTCATTGGTTTGAATCATGAATCAATTGAAGCTAGACCACCATGGAAAACCTGGAAGCACTGGACGGCCGTTTCGTTCTGGTATGGGACTCCTCAACAGTGCGCATCCACGATCCCGTTAAGTGACTTCATATCATAATGTACGTAATTAAGTAGTAGTAAATAAGTGGGGGAAAAATCGTTATATGACTTTACTTTCAACTAATTCATTAAATGGCAAGACAAATATGACATATTTGGGTTATATTAAAGGTATGCAAATGTATAGTATAGTAGTATATTTTAATATAGGATAGAGATATTTCGGTGATACTAGGATTTATAGATGACATTTTAGCTATTTTACATGAACTTGAGAAGTTTTATTCACTGACTGAGTTCAAAATCGGGGTTGAGAATTAGTGCTAGAAATTCGGATTACGGATAGGAATTAGGGTTAAAGCTTCCATCATGAACTGACTTCAGCTGGGATACTAGAACACTACATAGTAATGTGGATGAATGAATTTCTCACTAAAATCCAAGAGGTACTGCTTTAAATGTAATTAACTCATTCATAAATTATTGTATCACTGTGTTAACGACCAAAAGTTGATGGTTACCCTATAGATAATGTCGTTGGCTATTTATTGATCATAAGATATCGAACACTATGTTGATCTTATCAGTAAAGGGTTGTGGGAATTGTTGAATTTCATTGAAAATATGAACCAGTCGAAGTTAGACCACCATTAAAAACCTGGAAAAAACGGATGTCCGTTTTTTCTACTATAAAACTCCTTACCTGTGAGTATTTACAACTTTGCAACAGGTAATTGGACCCAGGACCTATGATCTTACTTACGAACGCTTAATCTCTAGGCCATTATATTGACATCCAACTTTATCCACTTATATTAATGTGATATTCATATGTAGACATCTGAAGACAATGATTGTTAGTGACTAGTACCAGGTATAAGGTATAAATTTGAATAAAACATTTGATCTAAGTCTAAGAAATACTATTCGATCCTGATGTTTAGTTGAAGTTAATGAAATCTTATTGTCGTATCATTCAAATAAGTGAGAAGCTTCTTTAACTTTGACATTCTAAACACATTTATGGTTTTATGTAAAATAATGAAAGCGCTTTATCTCTATTCTATTAAACTGCTCTGAAAGTGAATAACAATTTCACTCCTCTCATTATTAGACCCACAATAGTATTGTCAATACATCTTTATTCAGAAATTAACCGTTTAAACGCAGAATTAGTTTTATGATGTATATTTTACTTCTTGTGTAAATAAGATAACCAACTGATAGTGTTATGTAAATATAAATAAATTAGAAATCGTACATTATTTGATAAGTACAATTTGTGTAATATGTATCTCATTATTTCATCGAGTCAAAATGTAGAGTATTCAGAGAAGAACATTTTCTTTTCGATGAAATCATTTACTTAAGCTGTACATTCGTTAGATGTTGGTTGGAGGTAATCGACAGGAAACCGTGGACCCGGGTTTCGTGTTACTTGGCACTCGTCAGCGAGGTGTACCTGTAATCTGGTGCTCCCTGACGGATTCGATCCCGTGTCACCCAGCTTCACAGTCAGAGACGTTGCCACTGAGCTATCCGGGCCGCGACCAAACAGAAATATATGCAATGAATTTTGTATATTACTTATTTACGTCTGTTAACCCTACTTGAGGAGCACAACCCGCCCACCAGCAAGAATTCTCCATCCAACACTGTCGTGGACAATCCTTTCCAGTTACCATTCATTCTTTTCATATTTTCTTCTAATTCTCGACGCAGTGTGTTCTTCGGCCTTTCTCTTTTTCGTTTCCATTCAAGATTCCAAGTTAGCGCTTTCTGGGTGTTGCAGTTTGATGATTTACATAATGTATGTTCAATCCACTTCCAGTGTCTTTTCCTAATTTCTTCTTCAACTGGAAGCTGGTTTGTTCTCTTCTACAGTAGACTGTTACTGACGGCATCCGGTTGAAGGACATTGAGTATTTTGTGTAGATAATTGTACGATTTTGACGATGGTTGTAGTAGTCGTCGATGTTTCAGTTCTGTACAGTAGAACTGACTGTCTCGACGTTCGTACCAAAGATTGTGACTTTGATATTGGCTGACAGTTGTTTTGAGCTCCATATTTTCTTCAGTTGTATGAATGCGGCCCTTGCTTAGTCAATCATCGTCTTTATGTCTTTACCAGATCCTCCTTGTTTATGGATAATGCTGTCCAGGCACGTGGAGGACTCCATCTATTCCAGAGTTTCTCCACCAAGTGTGATTGAGTTGACGTTCTCCGTGTTGTATTCTAGGATCTTGCTTATTCCCTTGTGTATATTGAGGCCTAATGATGCAGAGGCTTCTGCTGCACTAATTATCTTCGTTTGCATTTCTTAGTGTGCATAGAATAGAAGAGCTAGGTCATCTGAAAATTTCAAATCGTCTAGTTGCGTCTAAGCTGTCCATTATATTCCGTGCTTTCCCTCAGATGTGGAGGTCTTCATAATCCAGTCAACTAACAGCAGAAAGGAAGGGGAGAGTAAGAAGCCTGGTTTAACTCGGGTCCTCATTCAAAATGCATCTGTCAGCTGTCCTCCATGCAAGACTTGACAGTGTAGTCCGTCCTATGGATTCCGCATTATGTTGATGATCTTCTCAGATACACCATAGTGTTGAAGAAGTTTTCATTTGTTTCTCTTACACTGTCAAACGTCATCTCAGCTAGGGAAATTTATGTGCAGTGACGAGTTCCATTCAACTGATTGTTCAATGATGATCCGTAGTGTGGCGATTTGGTTTGTGCATGATCTATCCTTACGGAATCCAGTCTGCTGATCTCGAAGTTGGGCGTCTGCTGAATGTTTCATCCGGCTGAGCAACACTGTTGAAAACTTCCTGGTACTGACAGTAGTGTGATTCCTCTGTATTTTTTTTGGTATCTTGATGAAGCGTCCTTCTTTCCAGTTCATCGTCACTTGTTCTTCATCCCAAATCTTCCTGAATAGAATGTGGAGCATGTTTGCAGTTACTTCTATGTCTGGCTTCAGTATTTCAGGTGGTGTGCTATAAGTTCGTACTGCTTTCCCACTCTTGGTTTGTCTGATGGACATCCTGTTTTCTTCAACCATTAGTGGAGTGACAGCTATATAAAGGTCTATGGGTTCTGTTCGATGTTCAGTGGGTTCATTGAGGTTGGTCTATTGAATAATTCTTCAAAATTTCCTACCCATCTGTTCCTCTATTCCTGAATTCCAGTGATTAGTTTTCCTTCTTTGTTCTTGATCTGTCTCTTTGGTTTACAATATTTTGCTACTGGTTTCTTCATTGTACCATATAGTTGTCTCTTATTTCGTTCTCTTGCGACTTTTCCACTGTCATTGCTAGGTCTTCCACATAATTCTGTTTGTCGACTCTAATGCTCTTCTTCACTTGCTTGTTATTTACTGTGTATTCAACTTCTGCCTTGAATTTCTCTGTTCTTGTTCGATTGCTGTTAATTGCTTTCTTCTTCTTCTTCTTCTTCTTCTTCTTCTTCTTCTTCTTCTTCCTTTCTTGAATCATGTCCAGGGTTTCGATAGAGACCCACTCTGCATGATGTTGATTTTTGTGGTTCAAACCCTCCTGACATGTTGAACTTAATGTTTCTTCGATCCCTTTCCAATTGTCCATCATGGTGGTTTATTTTTCTTTCAGTAGATGTTGTAAGGCTTATAACCTGTTGTTCGGAGTTATCTTGGATTCGTTGATTTTGTTAGTATATTGAAGGAAGTCTGTATTGAACCTGGTTCTCACGTGTTCCATTGACCTTCTGAATTTTTTATTGATTCAACTATGATCTGTCTGGTTCTGTGTAGTGAGGTCCTGTGAGACCAATTTAGCTCTGTGTATGAGTTTGTGTGGGAATATTGTGCACTTAAATTTGCGAAACTCTCACCATTGTCTTTGTTTTTTCCCAGTCGGTCTAATATCGTCCCATGATATCTTCATATCCGGTGCTGTCCATTCTAACTTTGGCGCTTAGGTATCCCAACAGGATGGTGAGATCCTGTCTTGGGCACTTCGCTATGACTGCTTGCAGTCTCTAGTAGAAGTGATCTTTATTGTTGTCGTTGCTATCATTGGTGGGTGCATAACGCTGGATAATATTCATCGTGATTCTTTCCTTCTTTGTTTTGAAGGTTACCTTAAAGATCCCGTACTCATGAGATTTATATCCTATAAGTGCTTTATATGCTTCTTATGACAGCATCAGAGCAACTTCCTGAGCGTGTGAAGTATATTCTTCTCCTTCGTGACCAGAGTACAAGAGCATCTCTCCCGTATCTAGTTTTTACTGTCCAGCTTTGGTCCAATGGGTTTCGCTGTTTTCGAGAACTGTTATATTGTATATCTTCATTTCTGTAGTTATTTGATAGATCCTCCCGGTTTCCGACATTGTTCGGACATTTCATGTATTTATATTAGTTGTTGCTATAGTTGGCAAAAGTGGCAATGGCCTTGTGACTTTCGAAGACTATCAGCTTTCACCATGAAAAGTCACAATTCTTCTAACTGAAGATCCTTCAACTCCCAGGTCAGGATTTATATAGTTTAATTTATTTATTCTGGTTAGCATTTTTGTTTAACAAAATTGTTTTCTACGGGTTGAGGTTTCTAACCCCATTTACAACCTTCTTTCTTTATCCGGTCTTGATACTGGCAATAACCCTAGAAGAGTTACAGGCGAATTTTGTACATGCTATTGGCTAATTAAAAACTAAGTGTTCCAAGCAGCAGGTCACTAATGAAATATTATAAGTTATTAAAAGATTTTCACTTGAATTATCAGATATGAAAATATTCAATACAAAACAAGGAGTAGTGGAAATAATTTGTATCTCCAGTTGATGAGGCTTCTATCTAAAGTTTATGATAATGAAAGCTTCATGATCAAACCATCCAATTCAGAGAACAAAACTCCATCAAAAACAAAACACGAACAGGTTATAGTATTCATATTATTGCTGAGAATTCCATTTACAAAGAAACCTATTTCAAAATGTTTATCATTTAAATAATACAACGTTATGAATGCCATGATCAAAAAAACAAAAAAACAGCGAGCTAACGGACAAACACATACATATATATATATTTCCATTCGATATATTAAAGATAATGAGGAAAGTGATTGAAAAGAATACATTTCTTGTGCTTAATGAAGGACGAATAGAAGAAGGTAAATAAAACAAAACAATTAAAAAACCCTGTTGATACATTGAATATTGAAATATTTAAGCGGTTGTTTATTTGTTCTTTTTCTTTTACCTTAACTCAATGAATATGATTAAACATTAGATTAAAATAATGGAAAACAATAGTGAATATGTTCATAGAGAAAAACTGTAATGACAGGGTAATCATGATCATAATAATACTTATTATTATTATTATTATTATTATTATTATTATTATTATTATTACTGTTGTTATACAAAACTGCCCGATTTCAAGGAATTCGCTTTGAAAGAATCCTCTGGAATATTTTGTTGATTTATATTATTATTATTTAACATTTTATTTATTTGTTCTGTACTTTTCACAATATTCATTTGATTTTTATCATTTGATCTATTTAGCATAACATGTTGTTTTATACAATTTTTTAATGAATTTGATAATTTATTACTATTATTTATTGTTGATGGTATTCGACAATATTGTCCTGGTGAAGTACAATAATTCAATGAAGATGATGATGATGATGAAAAAGAATAGGTTACAGGAGTTTGAGTAAGAAGATGAGATTGATTATGTAATTCATTTGATGTATTCATTAATGACTCATGATGTTGTTGTTGATGTTGATGATGATGATGATGATGAAGATAAATATCATCATTATGCGGAAATGAAACTTTTGGTACAGTCATATTGGATCTATGAAAGTCTATATTATTTGTTAAGAAATGACAATTTGACGGTATCAAATGTTTAACATAATGACTATGATTATCTGGAAGATTTAATGTCATATAATCTGATATTGGTAGAATACCGTTTGTACAAACAGTATAAATACGTGGATAACAATTACTGTTAGGTTCATTATTATTATTATTATTACTACTATTACCATCACTACTATTATGTAATTCTGGTTGTGATTCATCTTGTGAAATATTTGTTTGTAAAAGTTGATTATGTTTGGTAGTAATTGTATTACCAACAGTATTAATGGTATCATTAGGTGAAATTTCACAAGTGTCATGTTTACACACTGTATCCATTTCAACAGAATTCATTACAGGTACAAATGTGCTTATTTGTGGATAGATACATTGATGATTCATAGTTTTGTTAACATAATTAAGCTTTTTATCATTACTAATCTGTTTTTGATTTGAATTGGTTGGATTAAATTCACTATGAACACTTTCCCAATCATTAGAAAATGGTATATCCATTGTCATACCAAGTACATTATATGATTTATCTGTAAAATATAAACACTATAAATGATTAGTAGCCAATTCCTAGAAGGATAATATATCATTATAGTAACAGACAGCCCTATGTTATAATACAATTCAAGTCATTAGCTTTTTGAACTAAAGGATTCGACATAATTCTTTCGACTAACTCTATATAAGACCGTTAACATAGTCCAGAATAAATGAAGACAACAAAATGAATTACAAACATGACCATCAGTATGAACTAATATAACAATTATGGAATAACCGAAAATTTTCACTTCTGTACAAAGTGACCGGTGATAATTTTTTTATTCAGAACAAAACAACCAAACCTTATCCATTAGTCAGTTTAGTTCGAAGATTACAACACTACCAAAAAAACCATTCACTTGAGACACAAGTCTCTATCATTTTAAAGGTTCTGTTTTTACTTAAATTATTATACTATGGTGTATAATAATAATAATTAATTTATATTCTGAAAAATAATAATTACAGAATTCACGCCAGTTTACAGGCATGATCAATTTGATATAAGTAATAACGTTAAACGTGCAGAAAACAAATATGTGATAAAAGAAAGTTTTAAGTATACTAGTTCACTAGTTGTTTAAGTAGTACATATATTACAGCGATCCAAAGCATTATCGGGGAATTTTTAATATTTCTTAAATCGACAGCCTGTTGATTTATGAACGGTGTAATTAAGGTCAATTCGTGTGCCAGATCGAAATAATGATAATTATCTACAACTAGAGAAATTAAAACGAAAACAGAGAGCACGGAACAACAAAAAAGTAAGTACCAAAGTATATTAATCAGGTCTACTTAAATGCGTGTGTCATGTGACACAATGATATACTGTTTGTGTTATTCAAATTAGTTAAAGTTGCTAGGGGCAGTGTTGACATATTGACAGCAAGTGGGTGGTTTTACTAAGCGGATTCACTAATAAAGATGGCTAAACATTTAAGGTTCCTAAAATATCACTTGTGGAATGAGATACACTTAAAGGCGCTAGACCATTCAATGCATTTTCAGAAGAACAGTATGCATCGATGCAGCGAACAAATAATGGGAGTGATTTTATCGTGCGGATAGGTTGTGGTAGGTTATTCCAGAGTCTAGAGAATTTACAGGTGAAGTAATTCATATAAAGAGATGATTTAGAATGAGTTTGTTTTACTAGTGCCAAGGAATTACGTATGCTATAATGAGAGGTTTCTGCATATTGAATCGCGTGATCGGATGTAAACGATAGTTTATGAAGTAGTTTGAAGAAAAAGATAAGATTTAGTTTGAGTCTCCTCCTCCACAAAGGGTCTAGCCCAAGTTTATTACATCTAGAATCATAAGTTAAGGTACAATCAGCTCCAAGAATACGAAGTGTAAATCGTCTCTGTACTGATTCCAGCCTTAATTTATCCTTTATGAGAGCACTGCTAAGAATAAACGTGCAGTATTCCAGAAGAGGTCGAGCACAAACTTTGTACGTTAGAATACTTGACTCAGTGTTGTAAAGATTTCGAGTTATGTAACCTATTAGACGTTGAGACTTAGAGGTCTGTTTTAATACACGTTCTGTAAACGACAAGTCTTGGGAGTATCTAAGTCCTAAGTCTACTACTGTATGTAACTTAGATAACACTTCTCCATTTATGGTAACGTCTAGGTTGAGCGATGTATTGCCGAAGCATATCCATCCACATTTCGCCGTATTAAGCTCCAGTTGCCATTTCAAGCACCACTGTGTTACCTTGTTAAGCTCCATGCTGATGCAATTTTGCATATTTTTCAGGTCATGTGGAGAAAATGAATATACTACTTTAAGATAATCTGCATATAGAAGGGGCTTACCGACACAAAAACTCTCACAAATATCATTAATAAACACTAAAAAGAGCAAAGGACCTAAGACATGTATGTCAGCAGACATAAGCAGTATATAACACCAATCAAAAGTGAAACACCTGTCAACCGAAAGTTGGGAAGATCAAATCAAATAAAACAGAAATGTAAATAGATAGTAATTTTACTAATAACAGAAATGAAGGAACAATGAAGTTTGTAAGAGACAACTGAGAGAAAATGTTTTATTTTATGAAGAAAACTCTGTGATTTTGCATCAAATAATAAATTGATCTTCCTCATACGAGTATTCGTGTACTACAGTACTTCGTATTTATGTAAATTAGAAGGATCATTTAAAAGACAAACTAACGTTACAAAAGTTACACTCACTTTTATCTTGATTTAATGCATATGATTTTGAAGAGTTCACGGTCTTAATACTTTTCGGCATTGTTTCATTATTCTAAAAAATCAATAATGTACAATATATATGTATTCAAGTTAAAAGTTATTGTCTTTTTTCTTAGATTTTATCTTAGATAATAATGTTTATTATCAATCAAAAGATATATTGTTTGGTAGGAATAGTTCTAAACTATCAACTATACAAATAGTATAATCAGTGCTTAATCATCATTTCCATGGAGTTTTATTCTCTGAGCTGGATAGTTTTGTCGTGGAGCTTATATCGTTCTTCTGAACGACATCATCAGTACAAACTTCTGGTAGAAGTGAAGTGTTCGAATTTCGTTACATGTGGTTCATAGCTTATCCTGTAGACCTCGATGTTGATTAGTTATTGTTGACCTTAAACCATACCATCTAGCTCAAAGAACAAAGCTCCATCAAAATCATTCACCTAAGCTACAAATCGTCTTCACCATCTCAAAATTATCATTTTGCTTTCTATCAAAACACTAACATATGTTCAATGTATGGAAAATATTAGTCGATTGAAAGAATTATTGTAAACTTTTGAACACTCATTATCTACTGTCTTATAATGTTTATTAATCAACAATAATGACTTTAACTGTTAACAGATTGACAGCATAATGATTTAACGCCATACCATATTTTTAGATTAGTAACTGCGTTCATCATGAGGTCTAAATATCCTTCCATTGACCACTGGTTGGGTGGTTATCAATGAGGACTGTTGAAAAGTTCGATTTTTAGTGTTTATCTAGCTAAAATCAAGAAGTTGTGTAAACTGGTCTGTAAACTTATCATTTCCTACAAATCTCCACTTTTTTTTAATGATAATAACGATGTTCATAAGAAACTATTGAAAATATTCGCAGAATATCTGATTTAAAAAACACAAGGCTAGATTGAATTACAAATGCTATCTTTAACTAGTAAAGACATATAATAATAATGGCTTTTGGCATAAAAACATTCGAACTCTGAAAGTTGGACCAAGGGTTATTCAAGAGAAAGTCAACAATTCTAACCGTTACATTATCTAATACTAACAATATCTAGTTAATGTAAATTAATTAAATACCCACCCTCCGAAAAAAAGATGCTCAGATCTATTTAAACTTTTAAAAAATTTATACCCAATAAAGCAACTGAACATTGAACTTTGAAATAGATAGTATTTTAATTCACTTGGTATTGTTTGGCTTGTATCTTCCCATTGAGATTTAACACTACAATTGATCAGTCTGTTATTGGCATATGTGCATACTGTCAGTATGCCTCGATATTACCTTAATTCACAAGCTATTTGTGGCTAGCAGTGGAATCCAGGACGCTTGCACAAGCAAGTGGCTATCAGGGCTCAATAGATGAGTAGATAACGCGATGGTGTTTGAAGCGAATGGTACTAGGTTCGAGTCCCAGAGTGAACATCAACTCTCTGAGATGCAGGTACATCCAGCTAACGAGTCTCAAATAGGACGAAACGCGCGTTCTGTATTCCACTGCTAGCCACTATCCATCATAGACAGTATTTTACTTTGAAAAAAAAGCCGCGCCTAGTTTAACAATTTAAAAATGTTGCCACCATTTTTTTAAATCTCAATATTTTAAAACTTCAATAAAACAATCTATTCACAATTTGATACCATTTTAAATTTATCATTTAAATTGAAAAAATCATTTATCTGTAAAATGATAAGATTGAATTTAACTGATAAATTATAACATTTATCCTACTTAAATGGTTTATTAGTATGAAGGTGTAATGTGAATGAAAAGTTCATTTAATTAGTCAATTGAATTTGTTATTCACAGTTGAATAGAGAATAGATAAATTTTAAAATATTCATTTTATTATAATTCTATTAAGAATAAATATATGAGACAATTAATACAGTGTTAATTATTGAATGTATAATTTCATAATCTTTCTATGAAAGCTTCGTTGACACTAAGGTGTGCTTCAGAAGATAGTCAATATCATACAGAATTCCTATGATGGATTACACTGCAAAATCGTGCATGGAGGACAGTTGACAAACTCATTCGAAATAAAGATCGGTGTCAGGTAAGGTTGCTTACTCTCACTCTTTCTCTTTCTCCTGGTGATCAACTGAATCATGAAGACGTCAACATCTGAAGGGAAACATGGGATACAGTGGACATCTAGGATGCGGATGGACGATGTAGACTTTGCAGATGCTCTGGCTCTTCTATCGCATATGCAACAACAAATGCAGGAGAAGACGACCAGTATAGCAGCAGCCTTCTGACGAAATGGATCGATAAATAAATCAGAAAAATAATTATTTGATTGGTATGTTTTATGTTTCATACAGAAAAAATTGGACGTGGAGCGTTTTGTTCTAATTCGGACTCGTCAGCTGGATGTACCTGTATCTCAGAGTTGATGTTCACTATGAAACTCGAGCCCATTACTTTTCACTTCAAACGCCCACGCGTTATTCACTTAGCTACTGAGTTCACATAGCTACTCACTTGTATCCTTTATGCAAACCAATCTATATTAAACACAATAAACCTAAATTCAGTTTTAATCAATCAATAACAGATTAATGAAAAGGATTTTCCTTTTTTGAGAAACACACTTTTGACAAAGTGAATTTTGAATTCGAATATTATTCTCATAAAGTTATCTCTCTGTACTACTTGAAGTACTAATGTTAAATATACTCAGAGAATAACTTACCAATGGACGAGTACGGTTGATGATCAATTGTATAACATTACAGAAATGTTTCCATTTACTGGTATGATCGTTGTTTTTTCCATCGACTTGATTGTTTATGTTGTGATTGTTATTGTTGCTTTTATCTGAAAAAAGCACAACAAACAAGAAAACAAACAAAAAATTATTTCAATAAACTTGTTTCAAATGGAAGATTTCATTGATTTAGTTATTATCATTTATTTTAACACATAGATATTGATACAAGGAGGCACCAAATATATATGCGCCACACAAATCTCACTCGACATGTGTGATGGCTATGATACTGCCCGGGTGCCCAAACCGAAGCAGGTGGTTTTCTTAGGGGGGCCACACCCCGAGCCTTCGACCTGAAGGTCTGATCCACAAGGCAGTGGAGCATCGTGAGAAGATGCAGTCTCATGAAAGCCGGTGACCAACAAGTGGTTCATACGTTATTTGTTCCCGCAGGATACTGGAGCCTATGTGCACCATTGATTTGGTTTGGGATCCGGTTAAAGCGCCGGACATTCGCTTTTCATCCTCTCATTTTCGTAAACAACACCCCCGCCACGAGAAGGCAGTGATTAGGACTTCCCTGACAGAGGCTTTATACGCGTGGCCATGTGAGAGCACTTGGAAAGGGAGAGCGGACTCTCCCCTTTCTCGGCCATACCAGGGCATTGAAATTTATAAAGAATCACTGCGAAATTAATCATATATATATATATATATATATATATATATATATATATATTAAAACCCCTCAATATTTCATTGAAGATCCAAGATGCTAAAAAAAAACCGAAAATAGTCCGAATAATCAACATTCTTCAAAAATTTCAAAGAGAACTTTAGAAAATGATGAATAATGTTTTAGTTGACATGGTTGGGTAATTATCGGTGTTCCTAACCAATTTTCATATGCTTTCCAAAATGTTTGAGCCCAAAACACACCACTACCCTTGTTTTCTGAATATACATTGAATTTCAAAGAAAGTTTATTCCATACTTTCTGTCTTGTGTTTTCTGTTTGGGATTCAATAAAAGATGACTTCTAGGAAGTAGAAAGCTAATAAGAAGCAAGGGTCAAATCGTTTAATCATAGTACTTATCAATACGTAAGTACAAATTAACTAAAGCATTGGTTAGGACCAATGAGTATTTTCCTTAGATTTAGAAATCCCTTACTAGTATAAACCAGTGAGTACCCATATACAATCAAACTAACTAAACATGCAATCATTCAGCTTATGAGTTCAAATACGATAGTTCCAGTTTCAGTCTCAGTTTGAAGCACACTGTAAACATTATTACAATGTTATTGTTGATGAATAATCCCAATTAGTTCTGATCTGGTTCACTTCATTGATTACGAGTGGCCTTTCAGTACAATTTTTAAAAAATCTCTTTGGTGGAAGTAAGTCAATAATAAGTACAGGACTGTGGTTAAGATATATATAAAATGCTATTTAATAAAAACAAGTTATTGAAAAAGAGAATTACAATGGAAAGTAGTATGTTACTGACCGATGAACAACGAGTAAATTAATATGAACAAATTTTATCCGAATACAATTCAATACAAACAAGTTTCTAATTCTTATCACCCATAAGTTCGCAGATATACTCAGAAACATACATTTTAATTAGTCACTTTATTATTTTAGGCAAAGTTTATCCTCGATGTTTACAAATTTACCGAAGTATGTTGTATCTAGGATTTCCAGTTATTTATCTGTTCATTAAGTAAGTGAGTTGGTGATCGGAGATCCATACTCCACGAGGAATAACAGGCGTAAGTAAATGCTGCATATTAGAGTGTGATCATCATTAAAGACTTCATTTTGACCCCGAATGTTCATCAAATCTGTTTTTTACCTGATATGTTGAGATGTACTTAGTTGGTATTTCAATACCAACCAGATATGAATAATCAAATGAACTCAAAATAAAAATAACACTCTAGTACGTAGCACTGAGTCTCTAAATGAACCGAAAAATGGACAAACTTCCTGAAGACAACATAAATAAAACATTACAGATAAACTCATGTCTATCTGACAAACAAAATTTGAAATTTTATAGGGAACGAATACCTTGAACAGCGTTACGATTTATTTAATATAACAAAAACAATTTTAAATCGACGTACAAGACGTTTTGGAAATAATCAGAATAACAAAAAGCTGTCGACAATGAACAATTTCCATGGAATTTATCAACCTGGTAATGTAACATCATAATGCAGTTATGAATGATATCTAGTTAAATGTTGCTTAACATTTAAGATTCCTTCAACCACTATTAAACCATTGAGATTTAGATCAGTAATCAGAATTTCTTAATTTGGTTGGAAAGCTGATATATGAGCAGGGTAAAAGAAGGCTAACAGTGACCAAATCAAATGTGGCATCAGTCCATGAAGTCAGAAACCTTTGGATCGACTTGTGTAGGTAGATGCAGACTATCTGATTTGAGTGTGAGCAATTATCAATAACAGTGGTCAAAAATTTTAATTCACGTGGCTCAGAATCTTTCTCAGTGTCCCTAGTGCATTCGGTCTTTCTCTCCCTAAATCTCATGAGAGCTAAACAAACTGTAAGTGTTATTAAACAGCTGACACCTAATCACTATTGAAGAATACTTCTAAATACAAAGATATTTCTGATTAAATATTCCCATGTCAAATGAGAATAAGATGGGGATTTGTTAGAAAATTCATGCTGAAAACTCTTCATTGTTATCAGTATCTTAGGAATATAAGTCCTCAGATGATCTAGCGTATCAGTTATTCATGATGAAAATTTAAAGCTATTGAGTTCGCTTTAAGCTGAATTGTTTAACCATAAATGTTTCACTGTTATTTCACCGACAATAATATCACTGTAGTGAATGAGAAGGCAATTTGGGACAATCGAATGTATTTGAACACAAAATTACAGAATCCCTTAGTAAAATCTGAGAACCATACAGTAAATACTTCATTTGCAAAATGTCAATCAATTGTCTCAGATTTCATTGTTCTCTAAACTCTATACTAATCATTCTTTATCAGAATGGGTTTTGTGGAGATTTTAGAAATTTCACAGATTGAAATCATGAGTCAATTGAAGCTAGACCACCATTGAAAACCTGGAAGCAGTGGACGGCCGTTTCGTCCTAGTATGGGGCTCCTCAGCAGTGCGCATCCACGATCCCGCACCACCCGGGGCTCGAACCCAGGACCTACTGGCTTCGCGCGCGAGCACTTAACCACTAGACCACTGAGCCGACATCCAACGGTGTTAATGTCTAACTTCAACCAATCCACGAAGTTGCGCTACCGTACACCATTGTCTTCAGTGAGTTCCTATCTCACAACAGACCTGGTTGAACTCCACTGGTAACGGCTTCCCACTAGAACTCCAGGAGTATCTCTTGAAGTCAGTCACTAGTGAGCAGATGATTATTATCAGAAGGGGTTTTGTGGAAATTTTAGAAATGTTCACAGATTGAAAACGGACGTCCAGTGCTTCCAGGTTTTCACTGGTGGTCTAGCTTCTACTGACTCATGATTTCAATCTGTGTAATCATTCTTTGTCTTGTTTCACTTTTTTTTACGATCTTTTTAACCTTCTCTTTCGATTGATAATTTATACTACTTATATCCATCAACATCAGTAGCATCTACCACATCAAAAAGAAATCAATTATTTTTACTCAATAAAACCACTTTTCTAAACTCATATCATGCACACACACACAGACAAAAAAAAGAACTCACCACTTTTATATTGATATTGTTTCATAGTGTTATTATGTAACTTATGACGATCAATATGAAGTCTATTTCTATTTAATCGAATCGTTTGTACACCATGTAAAGCATAAGTTATTAATAATAATAAACATACTAAAATAATAATTACTAATCCAATACCTAAACCAGTAATTAATTCTGTACTATTTTGATATGGATTAATAATTTCCATTGGTTCAGTATTTATAGAATTTTCATAAATTGGTATTAATTTTTCTAATTCATTATCATTATTATTATTATTATTATTATTATTTTGTAATTGACTTAATGATGGTGATTTAAATGATAATTTCTTATTCATTAATTGAGTATATTTCATTTTGGATGTAGATAATAAATTTGATTGATGATGATGAGGAGGATGATTTATTTGTTGTGGATTATTATTGTTACCATGGATATTAATATTCTTATTTGAATAAAATCCCATATATTGATTTTTAGGATACTCATTTAAATTAGTTGAATTAATTAATTGATCAATAGTATCTAAGTTATTTTTTTTAATATTTTTATGATTAATATCATGATAATAATTATGATTATTTATGATTTGTTTATTTTGTTTTTTATTTATAAAATCAATATATAATAAAGCATAATTTCGTCTTGATGGTATACCACAATCTTCAGCTAAAATAATTAAATTTTTAGGTATTTTTTGTAAATTTTCATTAGTAATTAATTGATTAATTCGTATTTCACCAGAAATTTGATCAATAATAAAATAATCATTTAATGATTGATTATGATGATGATTGATATTATTGAATGATTGATATAAATTATATGATAATTGCCAATAACCTTTATATACTTCAAGTTTATATATAATTTTACCATTATCACCATCATCTAAATCAATTGCATGAACTGTATAAATTAATGTACCAGGATTTGTATTATCTATATTGTATATATTAATTCGTTCAATTGGTATATTTAATGTTTTTAAATTAAGATCATTTAAAGTTGATCGAATAGGATCATGATCAACAAGAATATGACTTAGATTTAAATTATTATTATATGATGGTTTTATAAATTTTGGTGAATTATCATTCACATCTCTTAAACTAATTGTAATGGTTACTGTTGAAGATAAAGTAGGATTTTTACCTAAATCACTAATTATAATTGGTATTTCATAAAATGGTGTTTTTTCCCGATCTAAATAATAATGATTATTATTATTATCAATATTTCCATTATTGTACATTTTAATTGATTGAACAAATAGATTACCATCTGAACGTAAAAACCATTTTGGACTATTCATATTATATTGATTTTCATAGGCTAATTTAAAAATGATTTTTCCATTTTCTCCAATATCATAATCTTCACCATTTAAACATCCAATAAATATGTGATGATTTGTTGAATGATATTGTCTTGTACCTAAAGTTGTACTACTACTACTTCGATTATGATTACCACCATTGATCAAATGTTCCATAGTTGTATCTTCTTCATCTATCCAAAAGGTTGTATTCCCTATTAATTTTGGTATATTATCATTCACATCTTCTATTTCCACATGTATCCATGCATGTGATGTTCTACTTGGAAATTCATCATCATATGCTATAACAGGTATTATCATTGAATCTTTAATTTCTCTATCTAATGGTATATTCGTTGTTTTAATTTTACCAGATTTTGAATCAATTTTAAAATGTGCATAAATTGTGCTTAAATTAAAATCTGTATAATTTTGTATAAATTGATCAGTGATTTGAACAAATCGATAGCCTATATGACTTTCTTCATCTTTATCAATTGCATTTAATTTAATTAATTCAGTATTTTCAATGGAATTTTCTAAGATTTTCACTTCATAACGTAAACGATCAAATTGTGGTCCATTGTCATTTTCATCTAAAATATTGATTTTTAATAATTTTGTTGAAGAAAGACGTTTTGTTGAAGTTGATGAAGGCATGTTGTTATTGGTTTGTAAAGAATAACTTAAGTATGACTTTTTTTCAACATGATCATGACATGTAAGATAAATAAAATAGGAATTTTTAACTTCTCTATTTAAAATTGTCTTTGTCATAAGTATGTACTCAGTATCATGACGTCCTAATACATTGGACTGTTTGTGTTGAATATAACTGGATGATACTGTTGGTTCAATGTTGTTTGAAATAGTGGCTGAATGAATTGAATCATCTTCAACATGATGTAACGCAAAATTTTGAAGACCTTTTAAATAATCCGATTCAAGTGAACTACCAGATTCCTGAGTTCTTCGACCAAAGTTATCTGCTTCACTTAAGTAGCATTCCACTTCTCCTGAAGCACCTGTATCTCGATCTCTAGCAGACACCTATTTTGTTATTCAACAACATGTGAAATTCAGAAAAACACGTAACATTACTGAATTAGATTTAAGTAGCTCAAAGATAAATACATTGTAAAAACAACAGAATGACATTTGAAAGAATTCCGATGATGATGAGCTTTGATAAAAACCTGAAATTATATATTTATTGTGTTCTAATTTGATATATCGTCGGGATGACATTCGGCGCAATGGAACTGCACCTTTCAATATTTTACTTTTCGATAATTTTAGAAGTTATAGACCGAAATTTGGAAGAAGTAATATCCGACTTTCGATAAGAAATCTCAAAAACGAAAGAAGTATTTAAATTAATTTTGTATTATTTGTTTAAATCTTCCAACTAATGTTTAGGACTTCAATTGATCAGTCTTTTATTGACATTTGTGCATCGTAAGTTGAATGCCTTAAGTCAAAAGCGTTATAAGTAAAGGTGGATGGTGGCTAACAGTGGAATCCAGGACTCACGTTTCGTCCTAGTTGGGACTGGTCAGCCTGATATGCCTGCAGCCTAGAGTTAGTGTTCACTCTTGGACTCAAGCCAGTGGCTATCGGGACTCGGTGGATAAGTGGATAATGAGGTGGCGTTTGAAGTAAATGATACTGGGTTCGAGTCCCAGAGTGACCATCAATTCTAGGATGCAGGTACATTCAGCTGACGAGTCCTGGATTCCACTGATATTCACCATCCACCTTTGCTTATGAAGAAAGGATTTATCTATTAGTTCATGTCATTTCAATAACATATTATTTCCAATGAAAATAAACATTTATTACACCATTAAATGAACACTAGCACAAACTACTGGCTACTGGTATGTACTAGTGTAAATTATGATGTTATTCAAGTGACTAATGAAACCGCAACTGAATTAAAAATATTTACTTTCAAGAAATTCAGTTATTAATTTCAAATATTTATTAAAAATTTATTCTGAAATAGTTTTATCAATTACAAGATGTAAAACAATGTCTATCTCACCATTAGTGGTGCTTTCAAGTCTTCTAAAATTTTCACAGATTAAAATCATGAGTCAGTTGAGGCTAGACCACCATCCCGCGAGGTGCGGGATCGTGGATGCGCACTGCTGAGGAGTCCCATACTAGGACGAAACGGCCGTCCAGTGCTTCCAGGTTTTCAATGGTGGTCTAGCTTCAACTGACTCATGATTTCAATCTGTGAAAATTTCTAAAATCTCCACAAAACCCTTCTTCTAAAATTGTTTAATATACGAATGAATGTAGCAAATCCGTTTATGATGTTATATACCGAAGAATTGGTCAAATAAACAGTCAAATAAACATATTAAGTTAATCACAGTGAAGAATAGATTTTATCATATAGACAATTGGATAATGAAAAAAATATCAATCGTTGACGCATAGGAAACTTTAAACTATTAACTTCTAATATCAATTTTCGACATTCTGTTAATCTCAGACTTGATTTAATCCAAATTGTTACCGATTATTTTCATCATTAAATGTAAAAATGTATTCTGTATGCTTGTTGGTTTCTCAGCTCGATCATTCTCTTATTCTTTATACTTTCAGATTCTTTAACATACCGAACTTCACAATTCCTCAACATACAAGGTACTTTCAACCTACTTACTTACTTACGCCTGTTACTCCCAATGGAGCATAGGCCGCCGACCAGCATTCTCCAACCCACTCTGTCCTGGGCCTCCTTTTCTAATTCCATCCAATTCTTGTTCATCTTTTTCATGTCTATTTCCATTTCTCGGCGTAATGTGTTCTTTGGTCTTCCTCTTTTCTTTTGGCCTTGAGGATTCCGTGTGAGGGCTTGTCTTGTGACGCAGTTGGGTGATTTTCCCTAATGTGTGTCTCATCCACCTCCAGCGTTTCTTCCCAATTTCTTCCTCCGCTGGGATCTGGTTTGTTCTCTCCCACAGTTGGTTGTTGCTAATAGTGTCCGGCCAACGGATATGAAGTATTTTGCGTAGACAACTGTTAATAAACACCTGTATCCTCTGGATGATGGCTTTCGTAGTTCTCCAGGTTTCCGCCCCATACAGTAGAACTGTCTTGACATTTGTATTGAAAATCCTGACCTTGGTGTTGGTTGACAGAGAGTTGTTTTGAGTTCCAGATGTTCCTCAGTTGTAAATATGCTGCTCTTGCTTTGCCGATCCACGCCTTCACATCTGCATCAGATCCACCCTGCTCATCAATGATGCTGCCCAAATATGTAAAGGTTTTTACATCTTCCAAATCTTCTCTGTCAATTGTGATTGGATCGGTGCATGCTGTGTTGTATCGGAGAACCTTGCTCTTCCCTTTGTGTATATTGAGACCTACTGCTGCTGAGGCTGCTGCTACCCTGGTCGTTTTCTCCTGCATTTGTTGTTGCGTTTGGGATAGAAGGGCCAGATCATCTGCGAAGTCCAGATCGTCCAACTGCATCCTAGATGTCCATTGTATCCCGTGTTTCCCTTCAGATGTTGACGTCTTCATGATCCAGTCGATCACCAGGAGAACCCAAATATATCAAAGGTTGAACATTATAAATTGTTTAACTAATGAGCTTTTTTGTAATACAAATAATTCAGTCAAAATAATGATTTATTCACTGACCACTGATTTTAGTGTTCGTTTGTGTAATATTACATGATGGCAAGAATCAAATTAAATTCCACTATTATAAGTCATTATTTCACAAAGTTCCCCATTTAGTGGTAAATTTAATCCAGTGTCCATTATGCTGTTGTTGTTTTGTTTTTTACGATGAATACTGAATAGCTAATTACAGAGAAAACAAACATTCGAGTAGTCTATGATTAACTCGGTGAATAACACTGGCCGAATAAAACATTAAAACAAACACTATTCATACACAAATAAAGTATCACTGTTCCATACCTTTGCGATAAAAGTACCAATAGGAGAATTTTCTCTTACAGCTAATATTTGAAAATGAGTAGGATTAAAACTGTCCATTGTTGAATGTCCAATTGTACGTTGATAATTATTATGATTTATATTAGTCGATTCAATACCACGTATAGTAATACTCGGAGCTTCATCATTGACATCTAATACTTGTATAGTAAGTGTTAATGTGCTACTTAATTGTGGACGTCCAAAGTCAATTGCCACAATAGGCAATATATAATTACGTGGACCAGATTCATAATCTAATCGTTGTATCAATATTATCCAACCATCTTCTTTCCCTAAACGGAAATAATGTTTAACTCCTAGATCAGTTTCTTGTGCAATAAAATAATGTACAGTAATTCTAGGATGTGTTGATTGATAAGATTGGTATGGATTATTAATCGTAGAGAAATCAATTGAATCGAAATCAATTGCTTGTACACGATAGATTCGACTCCCAACATTAATATCTTCAGGTAATCCAAGAATTAAATAATTAGAATCTGGTAATTTAATATGATTGTTATCTTCGACCCGGTCTTGGTTTTGTTGTTCACCTACAATCAATTTGGAATCATATGAAAATGATTTAATTTGTACTTGTGGATGAAATCGATTAGAATGTCCAATAAATGTGTGATCAATGTTCGATAGTTGTTGTCGAATAGTATTACCTTGTTGATTAGTAATATTAATGCCGAAATTGAATTTGGGTGCATATTCATTCACTTCTTTAATATAAATGCTAATTGGTAATTGAGCTGTATTACGTAATTTAAACTGTTCAGATTGATCATAAGCTAATAGGATTAATCGATACTCGGATTTACGTTCACGATCTAAAGTGAAACGACTTATAAGATGTAAGGATTTAATAGTTTTAGGTTTAGAATCATATGAGTTAGAAATTCGGGAATCTGTTGTATGGTTTAATAATTCGAAATATTCAGCATCCGGACCCTGAATTAAAAAAAATAAGATATAATAAGTAAATGGTTAACAACTATAGAATTGTAATGGTGTAGGAAGAAAATGTGAACACAGTCATGTGTAAAGTCATGTCAGTTGTCTAAATGATAGTATTTTGAAATCAATGATATAATTATCAACAGGATGTATATTTATGGTCATGGGTGGGCCCTTATTAGGAGCCTAAAACTAGGACGAAAAGACTGTTCGGTGCCTAATAATTCTTCAGATGATAACAATTTATGGTAAAAAAAACTATATTCATGAAATTCCGCCAAACAGTAAATTAAATCAACGCTCTCCAATATCCAAGTTTTTTAATTAGATTTCTCCACAGAAAGAGGGATGGATCAATGCTTGTGAGGTTAAAATGTTGGTTGCTAATTAGTAGATTCAGACGTTTCCTTATGTATATTGCTTTGGATAATAAGATAGTATCAGCGGTCCTCCCCGCAATTACAGTGTGTCTCGAAGCCAATTAGGTGAATCTGCACTAGTAAAAATAAGTTAAATAAATGAATGCAGATTTGTTTAGGCATTTCACTGTTTGTTATTTCTTGATTAATTTATCATATTTAATTACAAGATATAGTACTAATATTGATTTAATTTTAAAAAATTATTTGTTATTAGCTAGAATTTGTCATTCCTCGTTTTCATATTCATAACTGAAGGTAGTCAGTCTTTGTTGCTATATATGTGTCCTGATTAAATTGCCTCGATATTAGAAGTTTGAGTATATTTGGTATATGGGCAGCAGTGGAATCTAGGACACGGGTTTCTTATTAATATAGGGCTCATCAGCTGGGATATAGATTCATCGATCTAAGTTGTATGCTACTTTTGCTCAATGAATCTCATTTTAGAATTAAAAATAATCTTCCAAACAGTTCACAAAACTGTATATATGGACGACGTAGATTTGATTCCTACAGGCCAGGCAGAGGTTTTAGCTGACTACTTTCACTTACTAAACAATTCATATTTCCATTAACTGAGTCAAAATCAATAACGCCAAATCTAGCCAATCCCATCGACGATACCTATCTCTCTATGTTAGTATATTGGGAAAAAAACTAATTATGTTAACGAAGCAAACGATAAAATTCAAGTTTTATCTCTTGATAACATCAATACAGCTAATATAATTATCTATTCAAACAGAAGATAACGAAGAAAGGTAAAGAATGAGAGAGAGAGAGAGAGAAAGTGAAACTAATTGAAGGTAACTTAAATTCAATTACAAATAATGCTGATTTGCGTTAGGATTAAATATCTTCAAAGTATAGGGAATAAAACTATTTCCTACTTGTCATTTTCATTTTCTTAGTTGAAAATCACTCGATTATTATTATGATAAGAGAATGTTCAGTTATATTTGAAAGAGTAAACAAAAATTCTGATGCTGATGATGATAATGATTGTAGATAAAGGCGGGAAAAAATGTCTTTGAGATAGAAATTGTTATCAAGAAACAATATCAATATTTAACAAACAAAAACACAGTAACTTAAATTGTAATGATCTATATGAATTTTGTTTTCGAATTGATAAGATATTCAATAGGGTTTTGTTATGAGTGTCATGCTTCTATCATACTTTTCCATTATCGTAAATTAGCCTAACAGTAACTTATCCATTATAATATTTAATGATCTAGGTAGGTAATGTTTGTAATCTAGTAGGTTAAATGTATTCTGTCAATTTGATTTGAAATATTTTAGAAATTACATTAAAAAATGTCACTTGTTTCAAGATAGATAAAGATTACTGTAAATTCAGATCTTATATTGTATTAACAAAAATTAACTGACATAATGAGTCAAAAAAAATTATCTTACTATCTAACAAGTGACATTTTGACACAATGTTAGGTTGTTAGCGAGTAAATTCTATTTGATCTGCACTTCGAGCTAGTCGGTAATCATTAACAAAGTGTACATGTAATCTTGAGAGGACCGATTCTCCTATACCATTCGAACATTTATCACCCAGCTTCAGAATGTGAGACATGATTACTAAACTATTCAAGCAGTGAGTGATTTGACATTACCGTATGAAATGAACTTTTACAGTTAATTATTCAAAAATCTTCAGGCTGTTTCAACAAACTCTCAAGATGCATTACCAGAATATCGATATTACTAAGTAACTAACGTTGAGTTATATTAAATGTTTTTAGATTAATTGAATGTCTTAAGATAAGAATTATCAATGCATTTTAAACTATTCAAAATTCCATTTGTACTATGTAAATTAGTCGTGTAATATTTTTATAAATGTAAATATTTTTTTACAATACATAATTTTACGTATAGATTTAAGCGATTAAGATTCGTATTAAGGCTAAAATATTCTCATGTTATTATTCTTTTCATTGTTGATTGTATCATTACTCACACGTTGATTTTTCCATTGAACAATAGTTACTAAATCTTCTTATCTTACGCCTGTTACCCCTCATGGAGGAGCATAGGCCGCTAACCAGCATTCTCAATCCAACATTATAATGGGCAGTCCTTTCAGGTTTCTATTCATTCTTCTAATATCTGCTTCTACTTCTCGACACAGTGTGTTCGTCGGCCTTTCTCTTTTCCGTTTCCATGCAAGATTCCAAGTTGGCGCTTGCTTCGTGATTTGCACGATGTATGTCCTATCCACTTTCAGTGTCTTTTCCTAGTTTCTTGTTCAGCTGGAAGCTGGTTTGTTCTCTCCCACAGTAGAATGTTACTGACGGTATCCGGTTAAAGGACATTGAGTAGATAATTGTTTATAAATACTTGTACGATTTTGACGATGATTGTGGTAGTTGTCGAAGTTTCAGTTTTTTACAGTAGAACTGACTGTCTCGACGTTCGTATCAAAGATTGTGACTTTGATATAGGTTGAGAGTTGTTTTGAGTTCAATATTTTCTTCAATTGTATGAATGCAGCCCTCGCTTATCCAATTCTCGCCTTTATGTCTGCATCCAATCCTCCTTGTTTATGGATGATGCTGTTCAGGTACGTGAATGTTTCCAACTCCCCAGCCGATTCCCCAACAAGTGTGACTGAGTTGATGTTCTCTGTGTTGCATTTGAGGATCTTACCTTTTCCTTTGTGTATGTTGAGACGTACCGATGCAGAGGCTGCTGCTATATTTGTTGTTTTCATCTGTATTTGTTCGTGTGTACAGGATAGAATGGCCAGGTCATCTGCCAAGTTCAAATTTTCTAATTGATTCTGAGTTGTCCATTATATTTCGTGCTTTACCTCAAATCTCTTCATAATCCAGTCAACTACTAGAAGAAAGGAGAAAGGGGAGAGTAGACAATCTAGTCTGACTCCGGTGATAATTGCTAAAACTATGAGTGAAATCAATGATTATAAATAAATAAATCATATTTCAGTTTGCTCTAAAACACATATCTGAATAAGTGTACATATACACACACATACATACATACATATAGATAGATATACATATGACAGGTACATTTCTATTATCATATAATTATCTATATCACAAACATACATCTAAAACAGACGATAAATACACATGTGCAACAGTAATTTGGAAATAATTGATTCCATTTTAATTAATAGAATACTGTAAATAAGTAAATTACAAAGGGGAAAAATGCAAAAAATGACTCATAATAACTTTAGTATTAGATACAATTACTAAGCCCATTACTGTTTGGTTGCATTTGTTGTTGTTACCGTTGTTGTTGTTGTTGTTATTGTTATTGTTTTATTACATACAGATTGTAAAACAACAATCATGATATTTAAGCATTTTCAAATATCCACTACTACATATGCGTTCGTTCACTTTTTGTTGTTATTGTTTTATTTTCAATGAATAATAACCATGGTATATACATTATCTCTGTCTATTTATAAAAATGAACAAGTAACTCAATAACGATAATTAGTTTTTATTGTAGTTGATTCAATTAGAATTTGTTCTTTTTTTATAGGGATTGATTGATTTTTAATGTGTTTTTTTTGTTCTACTTAGATCACCAAAGTTATCATTTACATCCAGAACAACTAGTTATATTGAATGGAGAATGTTTAATGTAAAAATTCCCCTCTACCTTTTACTCATTCATATACTCTATTAAAAACAAGCAAACTATACAAGTAACATTAATGCATAAATGAATGAATGAATGAATGCATATACATAGTATAGAGCGGGGGGGGGAAGATAAAATCATTGATAAGTAAACTGTCATTGTTAATTAACATTTTCTTTCTTACTCATTTCAAATATTAATCCTCTTCAAACTCTATTATCTTTATGATTATTATTATTATTATTATTATTACTCTAAATGTTTTAGAATGAATTCATGTAGAAAATGATAATTTTGTCCTTTCCCGCTCTCCCCCCCTCTCCCCCCCTCTCTCTCCCACTTTCTCACCGTCTATTATTCCTCTTTGAAAATACTATACCTTCCCCACCCCTCTTTATCTTACATTGAAACTCTTCATCCGAACACACACACACACACACTCTCTCTCTCTTTTAGTTCTTTTAATTACTTTCTAAAAACTCGTTTTATTCACTTGTTTTTCATAAAAGAAAAGATTATCTCTCTAATTTTTTTTTCAATAAGAACTTGAAATGAAATGAGAAATTCATAATTAATTATTCATTTTTATTCTGAATAGAAGCAAAAAAAAAATACTTTAATTCTATTCATTACAAATTTATAGAAACTATGTGAATGTACAATTTATTATGATATTAGAATAATAATAATTTTGTATTTATCACACATGAATGCATAAATTTATTTGGATAAACCAAAAAATACCGTAAAAAGAAAATATACTTATCTAAACGGTAGAATTATTAGTTATTGATTAAGATCAACTCATGAACTGTAAATTATTTATTTATTATTTCAACACATAATTTTAGTACAAGAGGGCACCAAATATATATGCGCCACACCATATTTGTGTGTGTGTGTGTGGTCTGTGATACTGCCCGGGTG